GTTTTAAATGAAGTGTTTGTGTTTTGCATTTGTAATAACAATTCGAAGGAAATTACTTAGTTAAATGTTGTCGCCTTACTAAAATGACAGTTATTCCTCGAAACGCAATTAAAAAGATTCATCTTTCCACTTGCTCTTGCTCTGTTTCTTCTCACTACACACACACTCTCTCTTAATTCTTCTTCCCTAATCCTCTCACACTAGCAGAATTGTCCCTTTGAATTCATCAATTTTTTTCTAATTCTTAACCCTCAATAGCTCGGGTCTTGGTAATTGGTATCAGAGCAGTCAATTCTCGGCTGTATTGATACTAATCATGGCAGAATACACTAGATATCATAGGTTAGAAGAGTAGGCTAAAAGACTGGAAAATTGTCTCCAAGAAATGATTGATTCACGACTGCATTCTAGACTAGTTGTCAAAACAATCTATAACAAAAATTTCATGAAGAGTTGGAACAAAAAAATCTCAAATTCGAAGCAATGGTGGGGAATTTAGATTAGAGGTTCAACAGTCTGGACTAGAAGTTCAATGCATTCTTGAAGCTGTTGATGAAAGAGAAAGGCCTCCAAGAAAGGGAAGCAGGGACGTTCGAGCCAATTCTTCCTATACCTCTAGCATGCTTGAAGTTGATAACTCAGAATGAAACTTTTAGTACAACAAGAGTTTAAGGGTAAGTCTTCAATTCCTAATCCTCCAAAAATGGAATTACTCTATGTTTTCCTCTAGCAACTCTGGAGAATGGCTGGAGAAAATGTCAAAAATATTTGGTAAATCACCAAATTCATGATAGGTAAAAGGTGGATGTTGTGGAAATGTTTTTAGAGGGAAAGACAGATAATTGGTTCCAAGGAGTTAAACTTGAAAAGCCCTATATTTCTTCATTGGAATTCAGTGAGCTACAGTGCGATAGATTTATTATAAAAGGGTCTAGGGATGTCATTGAGGAATTTAATAAATTACAATAGAATTGGGCAGTAGAAGAACACTAGAAGAAATTTTGAGGAATTAAAGACCTTCATGTTAATAAAAAATCCCACATTGGATGAACCTTATTTCATTTTCAGCTTTATAAGTGGGTTAAAAAAGGAAATTAAACCTATGGTGAAGATGTCTAAACCTGAAATACAGTCCAAAGCTTTCGAAATAGCTCAGTTGCAAGAGTATTCCTTGGAGATATAGACCAAATATTCCAAGAACTTCGGAAAAATAGTCTTTGAGTAGAGTTTTAGATGTTCAAACACCAGGCTGGAAGTCACTGTCCCACCGGTTCTTATAGGATTCCTGCTATAAATCCAAATTTCAAAAGAATGATGCAACTCCAAAGAACTCAAGAAAATATCAAGAGAGGAAATTCAGTTTAGGTGTACTCATGGTCCATGTTTCAAATGTGGTGAAAATTTTGGGATAAGGCATCAATGTAAAGTAGGAAATCTCAATTCTTTGGAATGTAAAGATGATGAGGAGCTGAACTTTGAGGATACCCTTGGAGAGCAAGATAAACATGCAAGTAGAGTTGGAGAGCTGGCAGAAGCATCACTGAATGCCATGCTAGGAGCTATAAAAAGGAAATCCATCATGCTAGTAGGTAATATGAGAGGCTTGTCAGTTAAAATCCTAGTTGATACAAGTAGTTTAGGTAGCTTTGTTCACTATGGGTTGGTCAATTTTTTAGAGGTAGTAATGGCGGATGGTACTAATATGACCAGCGGAGCAATATTCCCCAAGGTGTCATGGCTAATCCAGGACCATCATTTTCAGTTTGATTTAAAAATCATGGAACTTAGAGGTTGGGATATTATACTTGGTGTGGATTGGAAGTGTCATTTTAGTCGTATAACTTTTGATTTTCACGAACTTAGTATTGCTCTCAGTCATGAAGGAGAACTGTTGCATCTCCAAGGATTCATTAATCAGCTTATGATGGAACTTGTCAGAGGCAAAGATCTCACAACCTTTATACAGGAGAAACAGTAGAGTTGTGCATCTATACAATTGAAGAAAACTACAGTAGAGATGGAAGATATTCCTGAAGCAGTTGATATGATATTACAATAATTTCCTCAGGTGTTTGATACTCCAAAAGAATTACCTCTAGAAAGGTCTTTAGACTATCAGACCATCCTTAAACCTGTTCAAAGCCCTTCATACTCAAACCTTATAGGTATTCTCACTCTCATAAATCTAAAATAGAGAAGCTGGTGATTGAAATGCTTACAAATAGAATTATCAGGCATAGTAGTAGCCCATTTGCTTCCCCAATGTTGCTAGTCAAAAAGAAGGATACTTCATAGAGGTTATGTGTGGATCATAGAAAACTCAATGAACTAACTGTGAAGGATAGATTTCCAATTGCTAACATTGATGAATTACTGATTGAATTGCATGGAACTAGATATCTATCAAAGCTAGATCTAAGAGCTGGTAATAATCAACCAAGAGTTAAGGCAGTTGATGTGCATAAAACTGCTTTTCAGATAGAACATGACACTTTGAATTCTCGGTGATGCCATTTGGATTGACAAATGCTCCAACCACTTTCCAAGCTCTAATGAATTAAATATTCCAGCTATATTTGAGAAAATTTGTATTGGTTTTCTTCGATGATATTTTGGTATACAGTCCTACATTAGAATTGCATATGTAGCACCTCCAAACTATGTTAAGAATATTAGCAGAAAACCATCTCTACTGCAAGAGGTCTAAATGCTCTTTTGCTCAAACATTAGTTGAGTACTTAGGTCATGTGATCTTAGAATCAGGTATAAGTATGGACCGGTCCAAAATTGAGTGTACCTTATCTTGGCCAACTCCTAAAACAATTAAGGAACAGAAAGGATTTCTAGGGCTAACTGGCTACTATAGTAGGTTTATAAAAGGTTATTGCATCATATATAAACCTCTAACTCAGTTACTCAAAAAGAATGGCTTCGATTGGAATCACCATGCTCACATAGCTTTTGAGGAACTGAAAACAGTTATGAACATTGCGACTATTTTGAGAATGCCCAACTTTGAAATTTCTTTTATAATTGATAAGAGAATATTTAATGTACATTTTGTACAAGTTTGGCATGAACTTTTGGTATGTTTTGAGAAGATTAAAGCCATATTTGAACTCTTTTGGTGATAATTGCTTAAATATTGTTTAAGTATTCAAAACTTGATAAATGAATGGATTAATATGTTAATTTTGTGAAATTATGAAGGATATTGATGTATGAAATTCATGCACGAAATGAAAAAAATGTAAGGATCGTCTAGAGGATAAAGTATACAAGAAATTAGAAGCAAACATGAAGAGAAAAGAGAAAAAGTAAAAAATTGAAAATTCATTAGCACGGATCCGATCTCAGATCCGTGTGAGTAAAGGGCGATCCGAGCCCTCGTCTGTACTTCTGGAGCAGTGTATCCGAGGACAAATGATCTAAGCTCGGATCTATCAGAGAAAGGCCTCGGATCAGCTTGATCCGAGCTCGGATCGAACTTCACCACTCGGATCCGAGGCTCGGATCTGCCTCTCTCTTCAGCAAGTGGCACAGCCGTTTTTTCTCACTTTTCACACAACTTTTCAGCTATTTGGAGTGAGTGAATTCGGTGGCACATGCTTCTGCAACAAAAGGGAAGACAAAATGAGTTAAAGAAAGTCAAAACAATATTTCTTTTGACTTTCTTTACAAAATCTGAGTTGTTGGAATCATGAAGAAGAAAAAAAGGTGTCTTTCTACCACCTTTTATGCAAAGACAAAAGAGAGAAGCAGAAGATCTTACGTAGCTAGTTTTTTCTTCTTGTAACTAGTTTTCTCTCTAACTAGGAGTTCTTGAGAAGCATTTGGAGCTTTCACTTGTAATCATCTTGTACAAGAACATAGCAGAAATTGGAGGGTTTCACCATCAATTGGCTAAGTTTTCTTTTATCTTTCTTGTACTTGTACTTTATGATGTTTTGCATTAATAAACTTGTGAGTTTGATTGTTAAATCATTCATGAGTAGCTAAACTTCTTTATCTAGGGAGTAGATGAAACTTATGGCTAAATAATATGAATTGAATGTGATTTACACTTGTTATATTTTGTATTAATTTGTCTATTTGTGCATGTAGTAATTATTTGTTATTGCTTGATCACCAATAGCATGTTATAGTTGTTATTGTTCAATGAGAATTGGTAGTAACAATGGAAACACATGAGTAGAGCTTAAGTTGTATGTTCATGAAAATAGGGATACACTTAAGTGGATTACTTAGCATTTCATGAAGGAAAACAGAGTAGTAGTAGTATTTCACCATGAAAATAGGGAAAACTGAACTATTCTAGGCCATTTCATCATAAGAATGAAACTTGGTAAATTTGGAAATGAATCTTTGGTTAAACAAGAATAATAACAAAAGGTAAATCCATTTATTTGTGTTGTTCATGCCATAAGTGGAATCAACATCCCTAGATTCAATTTTTAGTGAAATTTCTCCATTTGCTTTTAATATTGATTAAACAAGAATCGTAGGCAATAGCATTATAATTTTCTTGCTCAGATTTATTGTAAGTCTAAATAATAGAGAAAAATAAGGGCCTACTACTTGTTTAATTTGCTCCTCGTGGATCAACCCGATACATACCCTACATTATGATTTCAGCCTGTATACTTGCAGTCAATAGGTATAAAATCGGATTTAAACTTGCATTGATATAAAAATCCCGTCAAGTTTTTGGCGCCGTTGCTGGGGAGCGGCAATATTAAGGCCTAATCATCTATATTAATTTAGCTATTTCCATTATTTTTATTTAAGTTGTTTATAGTTGATTCTAACAATTAAAACTATAAAATTTCTCTTGTTCTTATTTGTAGTGTATGCACCGATCAAATCGAGAACTTGCACTTTTCGATCCTGAAATTGAGAGGACATTACGAAGACAAAGGAGGAATACACCGCATCAAGAGGAACAAGAGGTTTGACAGTCGATAGAAGAAATCTTGATAGAACTACCATTTAAGCAAGAAATGGCGGAAAATGAACCAAATAGGCTTATTCTACGAGATTTTGTTTTACCGGGAACACAAGGTTCTCAAACTAGCATTGCAAGGCCAACGGTAAATGCTAATAAATTTGAAATTAGACCATCACTGATTCAAATGGTACAACAATCTCAATATGGAGGTAATGCTACCGAAGACCTAGATTCTCACTTGTCAACATTTTTTGAAATCTGTGATACAATTAAGTTTAATGGTGTTAGTGATGATGCAATTAAATTTCGATTGTTTCCATTTTCGTTAAGGGACAAGGCCAAGATTTGGTTACAATTTTATTCTCCAAATACTTTTACTATTTGGGCTGAATTAGCTAAGCCTTTTTTAAATAAATTCTTTGCACCTGGAAAAACTGCTAAGTTTAGAATGGATATAACTAGTTTCTCTCAACAGGAAGAAGAGACATTGTATGAAGTTTGGGAGCGCTATCGGGAATTGCAACGAAGATGTCCTCATCATGGTTTACCAGATTGGCTAGTAGTCCAAACATTCTACAATGGTCTCACATATCCAACAAAGACGCATGTAGATGCAGCAGCGGGAGGAGCATTGATGAGAAAGACAGTCGATGAAGCTCAACAATTGATTGAAGAGATGGCTGCTAACAACTACCAATGGGCAAATGAACGAGATAATACAAGGAGAACCGCTGGTATGTTAGAAGTAGATACCTTGAATATGTTAAGTGCAAAAATGGATAATGTGGTTAAGATGCTTAATAGGTACGTTGGTTCTACCTCTAATCGAGGAGTAGTTGTTGCATGTTGTACTACTTGCGACGATGATCATGATGATTCTATGTGTTCTAGCAGTGGACAGGTTCAATATCTCAACAATTACAACCGTCCACCCCAAAATAATCCATACTCTAATACCTACAATCCAGGGTGGCGTAATCACCCGAATTTCGGATGGAAGGATCAAGGGAACCAACAAAGACCAGTTAATCCACCGGATTTTCAACCGAAACAACCACTTCCGGAGTCCAAACCAACTTGGAAATTGGCAATTGAAAAGCTAGCAAATGTATCAAATGATAAAATTGAAAAGTTAGTCAGTGCCACTACTCAACGGTTTGAAAGAATTGAGGGACGGATGGATCAACTCACTAATATGTACAGAAATGTTGAGAACCAATTAGGGCAAATAACAAATGTGGTTAACAATCGCAACCAATGGGATTTACCTAGCAAGACTGAGGTGGACCCAAAGGAGCATGTGAAGGCTATAACCCTCCGTAGTGATAAGGAAGTAGGTGAGCTACCTGTAGTTGAACATGAGAGAGAATGTGAAAGAAGAGAGAACAAGCAGTTGAGTGAGTTAGTAGAGGACGGCAAGAAAATCAAAAGGAAAGAAACGATGGAGGAAAATGAACTACAAATGGGAGATACAACACCAATTCCTCCACCGGTGCCATTCCCTCAAAGATTGAAGCCTTCAAAAAATGACAAAGAATTTGAAAAGTTTGTCAACATTTTCAAACAATTACATATTAATATTCCTTTTGTTGATGCTATTTTGCAGGTTCCTTCATACGCAAAATTTCTCAAGGAGATAATGACTAAGAAAAGGAAGTTAGTAGATGGTGAGACAATTGCATTAATGGAAGAATGTACTGCTATTATACAAAATAAATTGCCACCAAAGTTGAAAGATCCAGGAAGTTTCACAGTTCCTTGCACTATTAGTAATGTAGAATTCTCTAAAGTATTTTGTGATTTTGGTGCAAATGTTTCATTGATTCCTTTAACTGTGGCTAGGCAATTGGGGTTGAAAGAATTAAAACATGCTAACATTTTCTTGCAATTGGCTGATAGGTCTATTAGACATCCAATGGGCATATTGGAGAATGTGCTTATTAAAGTGCAGAAATTCATTATTGTGATGCCCCCACTTCTCCCTAAGGCGAATCAGAGGGTATCCGCGGGACGCCTGCCCAGTTCTCGCTCGGATTCAAGCAATTTCCATTCAAACTTGATGTAAAACTATTCGATAACACTGGATAAATAAGAAAGGGCGGAAAACTTCCAAACTTAACAATATATATAACATTTATCCAACCCTAACATGAATTTTCAAAAGTTACATCAATACCCAAAATATACCACATTTGGGTACATCAATTATCCAAATCATACATTAAGTTCCCAAGAGTACAACCAATAAGAGGTCTAGCCCAAATTACATTAGAAATCCTAAGCCAGAAGTGCATCAAAAGGGGTTTCTCCAAATTCATTCCATATCCAATCCTGTTGGAAAACAAATCTACGGGGTGAGCAAAACGCTCGTGAGGCCAAGAACACACATGCAAGCACATAGTATAAGTAACAAATCCAAATAACAGGTCAATGGATAAGTACAAGTAATTGACAATTCCAATAAAATGTAAACAGAAACAATTCAAGAATATGGTAACTCTCAGGAGCTAAGTTTCACTTGCTTTGTCAGGGCCATTAGTATACTTTCCCATGATGATACTCTGTCAACTGGGTTGGTATTTTCAATCCGTAGATCATCACTTACTTCCATCCGTCCACCGTACATACCCCCACCGGACCCGAACGTCATTTATAAGGCGATACTTCAACGAGTATGCCAAGTAAGATCTCTCTAATAGATCAAGCTTATCATTTGATTCTCATGACTAGCCAAGGTTCCCGACCAATCCCATGCCAGCTCGAGTCCAAGGTCTGCCTGTGAGTTTGGGCGACCCCCATTTAGCATTTATAAGTCGAGAAGATTCACTCCAACGACGTATGCAGCCATAGTATACCATTTCATTTCATTTATTTATTCAATGCATTTCAATCATTCATTTCATTCAATGCATTTCAATCCTTAAACTTCATTTTTAATGAGAGCGAGTGTGGTAAAGTACACACTCGACTCCATTTTCAAAATCTCCAATTATTAATAGCAGTTAAGCATGTAACAAGTTTACATATACTTGGCATTCACCAAGTCAACCAAGGAGAAATACTACTTGAAGTTCAAGCGTATACCGTATGATCCTCTTGAAGGTGCTCGTGTGAGCCTGAATAATTAATAGTGAACGATCATTTATAAACCCCAATTATCGAAGAAGATTGCACTAGTGTACAACCTAAGGAAATCTCATGAAAATGAACCACAATTATTTGTAAATCGAGACTCATAGATGCGGTTTTAAAACACAAGAGCAATCGAGTTTTCATCTTTGAAATCAAGTATCAAACGTTCAAGTAATATCGAAGGAATAAGGAGAATTCGAAAAACTCCATTTCCTTAAGATTCGGAAATTTCAGTTTTGATACGAGATCTTTGAAAAATCATATCTCATTCTTTACAAGTTCAAAATTGGAAAACTTGGTGCTGTTGGAATCCTCTTCCAAAGTAATAAAAATTCCTAGAATACACTTTTTCATGATTCCAAACAGAAAGTATCCAAAATTTAGCTCAAAGTTGCTTTTGGGCATAGAAAACAGGTTTAGGTTGGTTTTTGGCCAACTTTGAAAATTCGACAAAATTCACTCAATTTGAACTAGCTTTTGAAATTTGGTACTCTATTATAGTTGTCATCCAAGTTTAAAACAAAACAAACAAACAAGATTCGGAGTTTTGCACCAAGATATGGTAGCTCAAAATTACTAAAATTTCCTTGTTAATCAAGGGTTTTCCAAACTCAAATAAAAAATTTTGTAAGTTTAGTTGAGCAGCGAAACGGACTCGAAATGCCACCAAAATTGGCAGCATGATACTACCATACAAGGACCATTTCTATGTAAAATTTCATAGAAAAATACGCATAGAAGGTTGGTTAACGAAACCACTAAAGTTCCAAGGAGTTCCAAGGCTAATCTGCCTTGGACTTTCGTTTTTCCGTTTTCAAGCATTTGGTCAAGGAAAATTCCCTAAAATATAGTTCATTGGAGTAGAAAAGATCTAATAATCATCCAAGATGTGTTTGGTAGGTGATTTACATCAAAACTTTCAAATAACAAGTTCCAAACCAAGATTAGTTAAGATCAGATCATCAAATGAAGAATTCCATCACTAAGTCAGATTTAAATTGGCCACAACTCACTCAATTCAACTTGGAATTGAGCGTGGTTGGTGCGTTGGAAAACACATTCATAAAACTACAAGTTCTTAGAAGAAATCATATTCAAAATCCATTCATAACTAGCCCACATTTGAGCATCAAGTTGTAGTTCATGTTCTGCCCTGTAGTGAACCAATGAAACATGATAGAAATTTTCAAACGAATGGTTTGGCTCACACAAGTGGAACTAGAACGTGCATTTATACCAATAGAAATCTGGGAATGTCTATTTTCCAATGTGATAAACGGCACTCGAATTTGACATCGGAGTAAAGAGTTATGACCGCAACAAGATGACTGCCTGGCAATCCGGGAAAATTTTTCCAGTTCTGCCAAACTTTGGAAATCAACACGTTTGACCAATCAAATCATGTTATTTTTCAATGAAACTTTCTACACCATCCATATAACATATGTACATTATAATCAAGCCATTAGAATCTCAAAAATTCGCACCAAAGGTCACGAACATGCAGGGGTAAAATGGTCACTTTTTTCATTGCACCATCCTTGAGTTTCTATCAACAACCCAACATTATTCCACTAAACCAACATTAATTTCATCATCAATCACCAAATCAGTCCTTCCAATCAAAGTGGGAGTTCATAGAGCCCACACAACAATTTTTCAACATAAACAAGCTACCCATATGCATGCATGAACTTAAAGGTGCACTACTACTTCCATAAATCAAGTTTCCAAGGTTTGATCATCACTTACTTGCTTTGATGTTCAAGACAGAAATTTCGGCTCTCCTTAGCTCAAGAAAACCCGTGGATTGTAGTTCCTTTTCTTAGCTCGATGCAATCTCCAAGTGTTAAACTAAGTGTGGGTGAAATTTGAAGTGAATTGGAGAAGTTTGATGAAGATTTGATGAAGGAATTTGCTCTGAGCTGTTTTTCTTCTTCTTGTTCGGCTGTTAGGAGAGAGAAGAGAGAGGGCAAAATCTAATGGAACTTGCTTCTTGAAGGTAGCTTAATGTTAAGTATTAGGTGCACAAAGTCAACCCAAATAGTGCGCGTACGCGCGCGTTTTGTGCTCGATTCCTCTTGAGTTTATTTCACTAGTGCATTAAACCTCTAATGCACTATATTCATATAAATATTATTCACTCTTACTTGCCCCAAAATAAGGGTCTAAAGTCCCTCAATTAAATCGTGCTGTAAGAACACGTATTTCCAATTTAAGCGCGATAAAGCGAAATCTCTAAGAAATTCTATAACGATAATATAACTAACTAACATTTGAACACTTAAGTATAAAAATACCTATTTTAGGGTTAATATACATGTCTTCAATTTTCAACCTCATTGTATTCTCGTTCAATTATTTACTCCAATCGTGTATTCACTATTTTCACTTAACGAGCCTTCAGAAATTAAATTTTGAAACAGGCACTCTAAAAATATAAGTAAGTCATAGATCAATGTAATTAGGTCTCAAGAGGTTAGGAAATAATATTCAGAGTAAATGGCCAAATAAATAATTAAATGAGCTAGAATTTGGAGTTAAAAATAGACAAATTTTTTTTGAGTTTCACATGAGTCAAGTATTAATCATCAATTAACCTTTCTTAATCTGCCATTAATCATTCTTAACTCTCCAATATTAATACACTCCTGATTCAAGTTATAGTCTCGAAGACGTGCACTTGTTGTTCCAAACTAAACGAATTTTGAAAAGTGAATTTTCCAACAAAATGTTTTAAAAATATAAAAAGGGCGTTTTCCATATAAATGAATTTTAAATGGCGAAATAAATAATTCAGAAAAATGAGTAAATAAATATTTAACTAAACTTGTAATATTCGATAAATAAGAAAATTTTTGGATCCTCACATCCTCCCCTCCTTAAAAGGAATTCGTCCTCGAAATTCACATTTAGAAAAATATCACACCTCTCAAGAGTCAGGCTTAGCAGATTAATCAATAACTTACATTTTCCAATTCGTATCCCATACTTTGTATCCACCCAATTAACAATCAAATTTTGATCTCCAATATGCGTTTTAACTTCCAAGTCACTATGGCAGCTTAATCGTCTTCATGCCTACCTTATATAGGAAATGTCTCTACTTCTTTAATGCAAATTTTATAGCCACTAAGTCTAAATCATGGGTTGGCTACTTTCTCTCGTGATATTTAACTCCCTAGAGGCATATACAATCAACTTATCATGTATTATTAATACACATTCTAAATCATCCTTTGAACTATCTGTATAAATCATAAAACTATTTCCTCCGCTCGGTAAGACTAACACAGGTGCATCGGGTAAACATTTTTCATTTTTAAAATTCTTCCTCATATTTAGAATTCCAAATGACTTGTCACGTCTTGCACACTTAAAAAGTCCTTGATAGACCAAAGGTAATATTTGGCTAATTCTAAGAACTTTAAAATTTCGGTAGGATTTTCCGGTCGTTTCCTCTTAGACAGCTTTCACTTTAGCCGAGTCGATAACAATTCTTTCCTTAAATATGGTATGACTTAGAAAGGCTATTTCTTTCAATCAAACTCACATTTATTGGACTTAACGAAAGTTGGCGCTCTCTTGAGGTTTGTAAAACTATCATCAAGTGTTTTTCCATGATTTTTTTTCAAACCTTAGAGTTACCAATATATCATCAATAATTGCCATCACAGATTAATCCAATCACGATTTAAAACCTTGATATATTAAGGCAATAATTGCTGCTAGTGCATTAGTCAACTCAAAGGGCATAATTGAAAATTCAAGCATTTCCATCTTGAATTGGAAGTGGTCTTA